ACTGAGCCATCTCCCCAACCTTCAAATGTAAAGTTTTTAAGAGTAGTGATTTATATGAAGGCCATTTAAACATCCTGAATCACCACCTCATTTTCCCATCATGTGCCTCCTCTTTGCAGGTGTCTGCCTTCTTTCACTCCTCTAGCTTGCCTTTTCAGCCTGCCTCTTTCCACCTGCACCAGGCTGTGCCATCTTGGAGCGCCTCCTCTTGTAACAATGGTTTCATAACTGTTTTCTATAGAGAGAGCAGAGCTCATTCAGTCTTGCTCTGGGCCATTGGTAATTTTAGGAAACTTCATTCAGGCTCATAGGCCTATTGGAAATGCCATGTATGTTTTCAGGATTGGTGTCACATTTGAGGAAAGCTCAATCAAGTTTATTCCCTCCGTAGGCCATGAGAATTCAAAGCATTTTTAATTTTCTCGTGTGGTGATAATGTAAAATATTTTCTAATTGTTAAGTTTCACAAAATTTTTTGTTGATGTCGAGGTCTTCTTATAGTGACATGTTATGTATTTTATGCTATTTTGTTGATGTCAGTATTTTATGCCAGATCAACAAAAAGATGTTTTTAATGTGCTTTGCCTGCATATATACATACAAGTGTGCCTGTGTTGTACAATGCCCGCAGAGGCCAGAAGATGGTGTCAGATTCCCTGGAACTGGAGTGAAGGATGGTTGTTAGCTGCTATGAGGGTGCTGGGAACTGAACCTAGGTCTTCTTTAAGAGCAACCAGTGCACTTAACTGCTGAGCCATCATCTCTCCTATCCAGCAAAAACCATTTTACAATATGTTCAGATAATTAATTTTTCTTCATTTATTGGATTATCAGCCTATAAAGAGACTTTTATACAAGTCTATTCATGAAGTTTTCTTCTCTCTCGCTCTCTCTCTCTCTCTCTCTCTCTCTCTCTTTCTCCTGACCTCCTGATGCCCCCCCACCCTCTGCTGGGGGTTTGAACCCAGGGCCTTGGGCATGATAAGCAAGTCCTCTACCACTGAGGTACATCTCCACCCCTATGCCTTCCTTTCAATAAACTACTCCTGGTATGCTTGTCTGCCTCACTTTTTTCACTGCTGTGACCGAGTACCTGACAAGAAGTGCCTTAAGGAACGGAGGGTTTATTTGGTTTGTAGTTTGAGGGACTACTATACATCATAGCAGCTGGTTAGACTGGATCCACAGTCAGGAAGCAGAAAGTGAACAGGAAGTGAGCTGAAACTTCCAGGCCCACCCCCAGTGATGTCCTTCAGTCAGGCTCCACCTGCTAAAGGTCCCACAACCTTCCCAAACAGCACCAGCTGGAGACCAAGTGTTCTAGCACATGAACCTATGAGAGACAGTTCATATTCAACCCACAACAATGCTTGAAATGTATATTTTTAGATACAATTATCTTCACAGTGTTAGAATTGTTTTAATTTATATCATATTTGTTTAAAATATAATCGCTCAGCCCAAATAAAATTTATTTAGATACGACATGCCCACAAATGTCACCCAACACAAGAGGGAGCCAGAAAAGAAAGATGCAACAATCATCTGGGTGTGGTGGCACACACCTTTAATCCCAGCACTTGGGAGGCAGAGGCAGGCCTGTTCTCTACTGCTGAACCAAGAGCCCTGGAGCCAGGGCAATCTCCCCAGGAGTGAAGGGGCAGTTGGACGTCAATGCAGAAAGTCCACCCCCTCTTCTTTCAGCTGTTGACCACCTTTTATTCCCTACCTCCATCTCCCAGGGCTCCTTCAGCTTTTCCTCATAGAACACCTCACTATTGATAGCATTAGATTTACTCACCCGATTCTTTGTCTAAGGGTGGAGCCCCCTGAGCTGCATGTAGACAGGGGCTGTGTCCTTAGAGTTCTTCTCTGGACCTGCAGTACTTCTATAGTGGTCCCAAGCCATCCCAAGTTCAGGGCATGTCATGCGTCCTCAGAACAACTTCACAGCCCAGGGTGGTGGCTCATGCCCCTCTTCCGAGTTCTAAAGGAGGCTGAAACAGGAGGAGGGCCAAGAGTTTGAGAACAGCCTGGGATATGGTGAGTTTCAGGCTATCCTGGATACAGAATTATGGCCCGTGTCAAAAGAAAACAAAACAGAAACAACAACAACGACAAACAACAAAACAACTAGCTGTACAGCTAGTAAGTAGTTAGGAAAGGGCATAAGATGCATATCAGCCCCTCCCCTGAGAGTCCACTCACACTCTCCTGGCCCAGCTGCTTGTGATCCAAAATATATGAGGGGCTCAGCAGTTAAGAGTTTGGTTCCCAGCACCAAAGAGTTTGGCTCACCACCACCTGAAACTCTAGCTTCAGGAGGACCCAATGCCTCTTGCATCTGTCAGCACCTGAACATATGTACATATACCCACACAGATACCATCATACACATAATTAAAAATAAAATATGGGGCTGGAGAGATGGCTCAGTGATTAAGAGTAGTGGCTGCTCTTGTAGTGGACCCAGGTTCAATTCCCAGCACCCACATGGCAGCTAACAACCATCCATAACTCCACTTCCAGGGGATCCAACACCCTCTTCTAACCTCCATAGACATTGCACAACTTACATGCATGCAGGCAATACACTAATACAATAATACACATAAAAATAATAAAAATATTTAAAAATAAAATATAGCTTAAAAATTTTTAAAGTATATAAGAGGTAAAATTTCTGGGGGCTGGTGAGATGGCACAGCAGGTAAAGATGCTTGCTGCCAAGGCCGATGGTCCAAGTTCAATCCTTGGAACCTACGTGGTGGAAGGAGAAAACCAACTTCCCCAAGTTGTCCTCTGACTTCTGCATGTGTACCATAGTACGTGCACACGTGTATGCACATATCACACTGTTAAAAATTCAGAAGTTTTGCTGGGGGTGGGACTCCTCTGTGAGGCTCCAAATGGGTTGCCCATGCTTCAATAGGTAGCACCGATAAAATTATTTATTTGCCAAGCTTGACTTGATGGAATCTCCCTTTGTCTGTTTCCCCATCTGTCCTCAGCTCCTTCTACACGAGCATTTTCAGGTCTGTGAAGGTCTAGCTTTCTATCCCTCCATCCCCAGGACTTTGCACTTGCTGTTCCCCCAGCTTTGGCCTCCCTCTCCTGCCCAGTTCCTCTGGACTCTTATTACAGGCTGTCTGCTTGAGTTACTCTGCACCTCTGTGGGCTGCTGCTCCAGTGATATTTGCCTGCCACATGACCAAATTCTAGTGCTTCATTGATCATGATGCAACCAGCTCCGGAAAGATCCATGGCCTAGACCCAAATGTCTGGGTGCTAGGTCTCGGAGCCGGCGGGGGGGGGGCTTGAGGGAGTGTTGTAAAGAACTCTAAGGAGCCCCTTGGAGGGCTGGTGGAGAGAGATCACGGTAATAGAAACTTCAGGGCATTGGGGCAGCATGCCTTTCTCAGGCAGAGCTGACCCTCAGGATTCAATGTGGTTGGTCCTTTCTTACATGCGTCTTTCCTGCATTCCCAAGGGCCTACCCCTTGACAAACACACCCTTGAACCTGGCCTGTGGGGTTTTCAGGAAGAGGGTCTTCAGGGGTGAAATGCAGGAGGCACTGAGACCCCGGGGGCAAGTGTTACAAGGAGAGATCTTGTGCCAGGCCATTCCAGGGGAGTTAGAGATGGGGGGGGCAGGGGTGTGCCCCTTCACTGTCTTGTGTTGCTTACTCTTGTTTCTCAAGACACAACTGAAACAGCCCTCCTCTGCATGGTACTCTGACTGAACCAATGGCCTTTCCTCTATTCAGACTTCATGGCCTGATGAGAACTCTGGTTCCCAGAGCCCTTCTTACCACAGGCTCTGGGATTTCATCTTAGGTCGGTGCTGGCTGCTCTGAGTGTGGGTTCCTGGCAGTGTTGCCTCCCCACTGTTATGCTGTCATTAAGGGCCTGTAAGTACCACAGAACCTGCAGCTCCTCCAGGACCCTTTAATTTCCCTCCTTGTGCTTGAGCACCCCACCCCTTCCTCCACACCTGTGAGGACTCCCAATGGCACTGTGGTCATAGTCTCCCATGGATCCATCTGGACACACTTGGGCTCGCTGTGTGGAGGCACCTTTCTCAACCTTGAATATACTTCAGGGTTCCTAGGAGGAGATTTTGGAAAACACCAATAACTGGCCCTGGGTACCTTCATTAAGTCAGAAGCTGGGTGTGGGAGATTATTTTATTCCTTTATTTTTTTTAACAGGATATTATGCATCGCAGGCTGGCCTGGAACTTGCTATGAAGCTGTGTGTGTGTGCACCACTATGCTGGGTTTATGTGGTGCTGGGGATGGAACCCAGGGTAGGCTAGGCAAACAGTCTACCAACCCAGCTACAGCCCCAGCTCCAATATTTCCATTTTATTTTGAATCTTTTTTAAGACAGTCTCCACTCTATAGCCCAAGTTTGCCTCCCACTTGACATCCATCCTCCTGCCCCAGCCTCCTGAGTGCTGAGATTGCATGAGCCACAACATTCAGTTTTTAATTTTATTTTATTATTTTTATTTTATTATTTTTATCTCATGTGTATATGCATATATTGCCTGCGTGTAGGTAAGTGCACCCGTATTGTCCAATGTCTGCGGAGGTCAGAAAGGACTCTTGGATCCCCTGGGACTGGAGTTAGCTGGGACAGTTGTTAGCTGCCATGTGGGTGCTGGAATTCGAACCCGGGTCTTCTGCAAGAACAGTGTCCTTAACTCCGTTGAGTCATCTCTCCAGCCCTACATTTAGTTTTTTAATGTTTTAACTAAGATGAACCCATGCGCATCCTTCACCGACAACCAGAGTTGCGTTGGGTAAGCAGGCAAGGTCAGAGGAGCCCAAGCTGGAGAACCGCCCAGCACTCCTTCCTAACCCAGGCTCGGTCCAGTTTCCTTGCCATCCTTCTGCCGCCCACAGAGGTCGCTGTGAGACAAGCCTGCCCAGTTTGTGGCGTTTCCTCGCGATACCCGCTCACAAGCCTAGGGAAAAGCCAGAGCCGCTGCGGTATAAATTAGCGTCTTTATTTCCAACACCTGAGCGAGCGTCAGCGGCTCGCCCTTCTGCAGTATAAACATACAAAGTCCGGGTTGCACTACACACCATGCCTCAGAGATAAATACAGCCCGAGGGGCTCTGGCTGTGGCAAAGCAACTCTTATTTACAGGAATAGATTACAAAAGTCATTTTTTAAAAAAGTGGTCCTGAACCGCGGGACAGGGGAGGGGTGGGTCACCGTTACACCTGCTAGGGCGGCCCCCGCAGGCGATGGGAAAGAGTGGGTGTAGCGAGGGCTCTGGAAAATGGGGGTCATGTCTCCACAAACAACCTGGACGTGGAGGGCAGGGCTTAGGTGTGCGGGGCTCGTCCCAGCTCTGGAGGCTGCCAGGAAAAGGAAGAGGACCTGGCTGCTTAAGGTTGGGCTCACTGAGGCAAGTGGCCATCGTGAGGTGTCTCAGGGAAGGGTGCGGCGTGAGAAGAAAAGGACTGCGCCCTTGCCCTGGGGCCGGAGGTGGGAACAGATTTCAGATCTCTCCCCTTCTGGCACCGGAGGATGTGTCCCTTTGGAAGCGTACTGGGGAGGAGTGGCACTTAAACCTCACCTTTGGGGCACGTGGGACCTAGGGGCACCATCCCTCGGGAGGGTAGGCGCTGCGCCCTTGGACGTGGCCCTGACCTCTCAAAGCATCTGGTAGATCGCTTTGGGGTTCGCGCCCGTAGGGCATTGAGTGGTGGCGTCCGGGGACCCAGCCTGGGCCCCGTGTTCTGTGTCGCTCTGCGCGGTCCCCTCTGGAGGACACGGAGGCGGCTCCGGTGGTGCGTCGGTCAGCAGCTGCGCAGGGGCGGCCGGGCTGTCGGTGGAGATGCGCTCCACAATGCTGGACAGGCAGTCAAGGCTGGACACCGCCGCACTCTTCCCCGGCCTGGGCTCTGTGCGGGGAGGGTAAGGTTAGTAAACGAGGCTTGATTCCTAGGCGTTCCCAACGCCTGGACCTAGAGCTTTGGGGCAGAAGAGAAACTGAAGGCTTGCTAGACTGCAAGGAGAAAGGGGGGGGGGTTGCACACGTAGTATTTCATCTGCCCTCCCCCGCCCCCCAACCGCTAACCCATCCCAAGATACACGTGCATGTGATGGAGGTGGAGGGATGGAGGGACGCCAGAACAGCTCAAGTCCCAAGGGGGAAGACAGCGATGAGGGAATACGCACCGCTGGGCGTCTCGCTGTAGTAGGCGCTCTCATAGCAGTTCCGCCTCCGGGAACCGCTTGGCGGGCCGCTGTAGTCCATCTGGGAATGGCAAGGATGGGGAGTCAGGTCCACTGGACCGAGTGGGGCTCGAGTACCACTCCTGTAACTGCTCCCTCCCTTACTCCCTAAGCCTCAGCCCACACCGCCCCCCTCCAAGACCGGACCTGATTTGGTTAAGAGAGACTGTAGGGCCAAACTGAGCGTAGATGGTCAGCCAGGGCCACAAATAGGCATTTGGGGATGGGGACAAGTGGAGGAAGAGTGTACTTTCGCGTCTGCGCACAGTGTTCTAATAGACCCCCCGCCCCCATCGGGCTGATTCCCCAATGTCCCGGGTCTCCAAAGCGGTTGGCTACCCCAGCAACAGCTGCCAAGGACCCTCGGGTCTAAAGGACTCCCCTCACCCCATGAGCCTCAGAAAAGCGCCGCAGGGTACAGGGGTTGCCTTCCCCCGTTCTCCGCCTAGGGTCCCGGCCTTACCATGCCGTCGGAGCAGTTGGAGCGCGGGCTGGACGCGTCCGAGTCCCCGCTGTAGTGCTCGCTGCGGCCTGGGGGCAGCGGGCCGGGCGCGTAGAAGGCGGTGGCGCCAGGGGGCGCGGCGTCCTGGTCGCGCAGCAGAGCCTGCAGGCCCTCGATGTAGCGGATGGCATTGCGCAGGATCTCCACCTTGGGCAGCCGCTGGTTCGGGTTGCTGGACGTGCAGCGCTTGAGGGTCTCGAAGGCCTCGTTCACTTTGCTCAGGCGGCGCCTCTCGCGCATGGTGGCGGCCTTGCGGCGGTCGGCGTTGGTGGTTTTGCGCTTGCACGCCTTGCAAGCCCACAGCAGACAGCGACCCGCCTGGTGGTGCCCGCTGGGCGCGCGCACATGCTCGTCCTCTCGCGCGCCCGGGCCCGGGTGCACGGCCGCGGGGAAGTGCGAGTGCTCCTCGGGCTTCAGGAGTGCGCCCACGTGCACCAGGCGCGGGTCCAGGTCCTCGAAAAAGCGCAGGTCCGGCGAGTCGAAACATGGGTCATCATAGAAGTCGTCGGCTGTGCCAAAGGAGCAGAGAGAGCCGTCGGGGCCTGTCAAGTCTACGTCGCGGAGCGGAGGCGACAGGAGCTCCATATCCCAGCTCGGGGTGTCCCAGGGTCGCCCCTCGTCCAACCCAAGTCGCAAGAGTGTGGGCACTTTCACTCTCGAGCCTGGGTGGTGAGATGGCAAAGTGCTGAGGCCTGGAATGCACACCTAACGGTCCTCTACCCCCACCCCCGTCCTGTTCTGTCAGAAGTGTGGCGAAGAAAGCAGTTGTTGCAGAGTCCTGGGGCGTTCTCGCCCCTAGCTTCACTCCTGGCGTCCTGGGCTATTTATCCCTGGTAGCCTAAAAGCCGGGGATCTGGAGAGGGCGGCTGGGGGCGGGGGCGCCCCAGGCCAATAGGAAAGGAGTAGGGCGGAGCTTGGGGTCCCCAGGGTGGCTCCTGGGACCAGGGAGTGCCCCCGCCCTCCGCTCCACACTAGTGTGTGAGCTGGGGTGGCTGCCTGGGCAGGGAGGAGGGCAGAGACTAACAGCTGAACCGACACGGTTGCATTTGGCAGCAGCCTACCCAACTACTTCTGCTATTGCAAGAGCGCGCTGGGCCATCCGCAAGCACTCACCTAGGAGCTGACCTTGGACCCACTCTGTCCCCTGATTTGTGGGGAAACCGGGGGCAGAATTGGGGTTGGAAATCAGATTGCAAGAGATCTGAAGAGACACAAGGCAATAGGGCACAGACCCCTCTAGAGCTGAAACACTGAAATGGTGACTGGCCCAGAGAGGCTGAACAGAAAGCCAGGTGCAGAGATGCGCAAGAGAGACAGTGAGACAAGTGGAGACAAGGTGGAGACAAACAAAGGTGGGGCCAGGAGACCTAGCCAGTCTCCATTCTGGGAGTGGCTCAGAAGGCTGCTGGTCCAGCCCATCTTCCCTGGACTCTTAGAAACACAGCAGTGTCTGTGCAGGAGTTGGGAATGGCTGTTAAAACTTAAAGCCAAACTTTCCAAACTCTGGGTCCCCAGAGGGAGGGAAGAATGAAGGGAGGGAGAGGAAGAGGGAGGGAGGGAGGAAGGGAGGAAGGGAGGGAAACAGACTTTAGTCTACTTACCCAGCAGGGTTTCTCTGCAAATGTCCAATGCCACAGCCTGGGGTCTAAGGGTTGATCCCTCCCTTCAGCTAAGGTGAGAATTTGCTCAAGCCTTGTGGGGTCTTGGGAAGCGCCTTTCTTATTTTTTTTAATTATTTATTTAATTGGTATTAACGTTTTGCCTGCATGTATAGTGCTCCACATGCATGCAGTGCCCACAGAGGCCAGAGGAAGGTGTAGGATCCCCTGGAGCTGGAGCTATAGCAATTGTTCGCTACCATGTGGGTGCTGGAAACTGAACCCAAGTCCTCTGCAAGAGCAGCCAGTGCTCTTGACCACTGCGCCGTCTCTAGAGCCCTGGAAGTCCTTTCTTAAAGATCATGATTCCAGGACCTGGCCTGAGGACATGCTCTACAATAGTCTGTATAACTTTGTGGAGATGACATCTTCCTGCTTCATATCCGGGAGGACGACAGTGTCCAGGAGTAACTGCTGGGCTCGAGACTCCAAAGGGAGGAGGATGTGGAAACAGGGCCGTGCCGGCAGGGAGACTTGCTTCTGTCCCCAGCACCTGCTGTATGGTAGGGCCAGCAGGCTTCCCAGCTTTTGCCTGGAGCACTGAGCCCTAGCACAGGCCTTGGCATCTCTAGGCTCTGCTCCTCTGGAGTCAGCTGTGTATCTTCCCAGCAGGTTCATGGGGGAGGTTGGGAGCAGAAGGAGGCAGCCGCCTCACAGAAGCCCCAGCAACCCACTGTGGGGCTCCTGCCTTTTGGGGCTTTGGCTAGAAGTCTCCTTGACCGTGTACCCTTGCGGCATCTCCTCCCCTGGATGCCAGAAATCTGAGCCAGGGTGATCTTGGTGTCTTTACCGCTAAGTTCAGGAAGCCATTCTCGCTGGCCATCCTGGACCCTGTTGGAAACCCTCCCTGCCCATCAGACCCAGTGGCCTCTTTCGCAGCCTGACGTGTGGTGTGTTTCATTTCTCCACCACTGGTGGTGCTGACGGTCCCCTTTCATAAAGTGCTCACCTCCCGTCTCTCCTTAGCTGCATCTTGGTTTATTCATTCAACATATGTTACGGCTTATCCACCATACACCGGATACTGGTCCAGGTATTGGGGATAAGCCACGAACAAAACCATGTTCACGTAGTACTTGCGTTGTAGGGGAGGATGAAAAATAAACAAGGAAGGAAGTGGAGATGTCAGGAGGCTCTAAATTCTATTAAGAAGAAGCAAGCAAGGAAAAGGGACAGGATGATTATTTCATTATATGGAGTCCTGTCTGGGATGTTTGTGTTTGAGTAGTGACCTGAATAAGGTAGACAGAAGCTGCAATCAGCAGATATTTGGAGCTACAGAGAGGGGCAAATATGTGCAAAGGCCCTGGGGCAGGGCTAGTTTGACAGGTTTAAGGGCACTGCAAGAAGGCTGTGTTTCCAACTGCACCTAGAGCCACCCCACTCCATTCCAGCCAGCTTGACTTCTTTAATTTTTCCAACATTCTGAACAGGGACCTTGTGCTTGCTGCTCTGAGCTTGTAGGGCTCTCCCTTGGACTTGCCCCAAGTTTGGCTGTGTCAGGTCTCAGCTCAGACTTATCTAACAGGAGCTTTTACAGGTTGGGGGAGACGAGGGCAGAAGCAAGGTGACTAATTCAGGGACTACTGCGATAATCCAAATGGGTGATGTTGGTCACTCAGGGGTCATTCAGCTTTGGGTGCCCAGAGGAATATCTCACCTCCTTCCCCATCCCACACAGCCCTTCATGAGGCTGGTCTCCACAACTTCACCTAGAACTACTGTCCTCCTCAACCCATTTCCGTCAACCTTCTCTGCTTCTTTCAACACCATGCAGGATCCTGTCTGAGTCCTGGAGTCTTGTACTTGCTTTGTAAGCTTACTGTCCCCCCTCTGGGCTCTTCCCAAGATTGGCAAGCCCTCAGGTCTTAGCTCGAGTGTTGCCCTATTGGAGTGTCTCAGATCGTTGTCTCCCAGATAGCTACATCCCTGGCTCCGGGGACGGCGGCCGGTTCCTTTCCTTCTTGACGCCTCCACGCTGTAATGATCTTACCTTTTAGTTTGTTCAGTGATGAGCTTGAAGACAAACAAGAATGTTTTGTCCACCGTGGCATTTTCAGAAGCCACCATTTTAATGGCCCCACAGTGGGAACTTGGCGTCAAGTGAAAGAATGGACAGTCTCGGGCTCTTTTGATTTCTACCCTTGTATTTGAACTTAGTGAAATGTATCGTGAATCATCCGATTTCTTCAAAACTGCATCATGTACATGATTAGATATAGATGCTCACCATGCTGGCTCTTCTCAGGCAAGGTGGAAGGAAGCTCATATGCCTGGGACATGCTGTCTTTTGTTGGGCCATGTTACATGACCTGTGGCAACATTTTAACAGTATGCTGCAGAGAGATTTGGTGTGTATTACCAATGTCTTTTCATTTGGCTGAAACTCACAGTGAAGAATGCGGGTAATTGTTTCACTAATGATTGTCACAAAGCATGGTCTTCCTCCCTTCTCAAGACTCCAGTGGATGCTTGGCACACAGTAGGCACTCTATAAAAATTTCCTAGGTGAAAAAATAAGAGGATCCATTTAATTGCACGGTATCTGGCATCTCCAGGACACTTCAAACCTGTGCTACTCTAGGTTTTCATCAAACCTGAGCAAGCAAACAAAACCCAGAACTAAATTTTATGCTGAGACTAAGTGATTACAACTTTGCTTTTTATTTTATGTTCATCAAAACTTCCTCCCAGCTGCCATCAGGGTGAGTTTACAATGAACAAACATTTAATGTCTGTATTTAACCAAATGTATTTGATGTTTTACTACTGATGATTTATAAGTCTAACACCCGCTGCAGTTTTAAATTTGATTCACCACTTCGTCTGCTGTGGATTGGGAGCACACAGTCCAGTGGGACAACACCATGCGTAAACTGGGCTACCGAGTGGAGATTTTGTTTGCTGTGATACTTTACTGCTTGAAAGCTGTCTGGAACTCAGTGAGTGTGGTGACCTTTGCAGGTTTCTCCAGGCCTGGGATCCATTCCTGCTTGGCATCATCCTGATTGTACTGAGAGAACTTTGTAAACACTGTCATCTTGTCTTTGCTTGTGCACAGAGCAGGGAGAAGTGGGTCCGCACACCCCGGGACCTGGTTCTGGTGCTGTAGCAGGAGAGTAAAAGCACATCAAGTTAAGCAGAAAGAGTCCACACTGTATCTGCAGAGATGCAGCAATGGTGCTCCTGTGACTGGGGGCTAGATCTGTTCTGGGGGATACTGCTGGCTGTGGGCAGAGGCACTATAAGGGAGGACCTTCATATCTGCCCTTTCAGTGAGGGGTCTCTTAGACCGTAGGCTCTGTGACTGGAGCAAGCACATACCTCACTCTGGACCTCAGTTCTCATCTCCACAATAAGGCTCTGAATTTCTTTCTCCCTCTGCCCTTTCCAGGCCTTACTGCTCAGCCCCCTTGGCTGGCCTGCCTATGGCCTATAAATGGAGAGCTGGCCTCTGGGCAGGAATGCTGGCCTGGCTGGGCCTCAATGGGCCTGGGGAGAGGCAGCTTTTACATATAAATATATATATAGCCTCTGGAAACCAGATCCAACCTGCACCTGCCCAGGCCTCAGGCACCTCTGCCCTACCCAGGCGGGACCTGTGGCCTTTGGGCTCCACTATCACAGGTTGCTTAGCTGACTCGGAGGCAGGCGGGGTAAAGGACCAGAGGGTGAAAACATGGGTGGGCCAGGGGGTGCCAGGCCCAGGTCTCGTCCTTAGTCTTTCCCTTCCCATCCCCAGATCTGTTCCCTGACAACTTTACTTCCTGAGAAAACTTGAAACTGTCCATCACACAGGAGAAGATCCTGCCCTGCTGCCGGCTGAGGTGGATCTGGAGGGACTGTCATACTGCTGGCACAGACATGGTCCCAGTCAGGGTCAGGATCCTGGAAACCCACACGTCCCACTCCAGGGGCTCCCTAGACCCCAATGTATAAGCAGGGCTTAAGAGTCTGGCAGATGAGCTGGGTGCTAGAGAGCCTATGTCCCCACAAAGAGGAAGGGGTCTAGAAGGCCAAGAAGAGTCTGTGGGCTTGGGAAGTGGTGTGTGCACTGTGAAGTGTATACCCCAACCAGCAGAGCTGTCTATGGTTCATTCTCTTATCCAGCAAACGTGTATTCCAGTGCTGGGAATGCAGCAAGGAAC